AATATAATCAGTTAGGTATAGAAATCTAACTTGCCCTATAGGCAGTAGGAGGGAAAGGGGAAAGAAAAGGGAGGGGGAAAGAAAAGGGAGGGGGGAAAGAAGGGAGGGAAGAGCAGTAAGACTAAAGGGGAAAAAAGGGAAAGGGATAATAAAAGGGGGAAGGGACTGAAGGAGGCAGTGGTCAAAAGCAAAACACTAGTGAAGGGGGAAAGGAAAAAGGAGAAAGAAAAGCATAAATAAGGGGGGGAAAGGATGGAGAAAAAGACACAGATAGTAATCATAACTGTGAATGTGAATGGGATGAACTCTCCCATAAAACAGAAATAGATTGCAGAATGGATTAAAAACCATAATCCTACAATATGTTGTTTACAGGAAACACATTTGAAAAAGAGTGACACATACAGGGTAAAGGTAAAAGGCTGGAGCAGAATATATTATGCGTCAGCTGAAGTAAAAAAAGCAGGGGTAGCAATCCTGATCTCAGACAAAGCAAAAGCAAAAATAGATCTAATCAAAAGAGATAAGGAAGGAAACTACATCCTGCTAAAAGGCACCATAGACAATGAAGTAATATCATTACTAAACATATATGCACCAAATGGTATAGCATCCAAATTCTTACAGGAGAAGTTCAGGGAGTTACAGGAAGAAATAGACAGCAAAACTATACTAGTGGGGGACCTGAACCTCCCCCTCTCTGCACTAGATAAGTCTAACCACAAAATAAACAAGAAAGAAGTTAAGGAGGTGAATAGAACATTAGAAAAGTTAGGTATGATAGACCTCTGGAGAAAACTGAATGGGGATAGAAAGGAATATACTTTTTTCTCAGCAGTACATGGCACATACACAAAAATTGACCATGTACTAGGGCATAAAAACCTCACAATCCAATGCAGAAAGGCAGAAATATTAAATGCATCCTTTTCAGATCATGATGCAAAAAAATTATATGTAATAAAGGGCCATGGAAAGATAGACTAAAAAATAATTGGAAACTAAATAATCTAATCCTAAAAAATGATTGGGTCAAACAACAAATCATAGAAACAATCAATAATTTCATTCAAGAGAATGACAATAATGAGACAACATACCAAAACCTATGGGATGCAGCGAAAGCAGTTCTTAGGGGAAGTTTTATATCTCTAAATGCTTACATAAATAAAATAGAAAAAGAGGAGATTAATGAATTGGGCATACAACTAAAAAAACTAGAAAAAGAACAAATTAAAAATCCTCAACTAAACACCAAATTAGAAATATTGAAAACCAAAGGAAAAATTAATAAAATTGAAATTAAGAAAACTATTGAACTAATAAATAAAACTAAGAGCTGGTTTTATGAAAAAACCAATAAAATAGATAAGCCTTTGGTTAATTTAATTAAAAAAAGAAAGAAGAAAACCAAATTACTAGTATCAAGAATGAAAAGGGTGAAGCTACCACCAAGGAAGAGGAAATTAAAACAATAATTAGGAATTATTTTGCCCAACTATATGCCAACAAATTTGACAATCTTAGTGAAATGGATACATATTTACAAAAATATAAATTGCCCAGATTAACAGAAGAGGAAGTAAAATACTTAAATAACCCCATCTCAGAAAAAGAAATTGAACAAGCCATTGATGAACTCCCTAGGAAAAATCTCCAGGGCCAGATGGATTTACATGCGAATTCTATCAAACATTTAAAGAACAATTAATTCCAATACTATATAGACTATTTGGGAAAATAGGTGAAGAAGGAGTCTTACCAAATTCTTTTATGATACAAATATGTTGATACCTAAACCAGGAAGAGTCAAAATAGAGAAAGAAAATTATAGACCAATTTCTCTAATGAATATAGATGCAAAAATTTTAAACAAAATACTAGCAAGTAGATTGCAGCAACTTATCACAAGAATAATACACTATGACCAGGTAGGATTTATACCAGGAATGCAGGGTTGGTTCAATATTAGGAAAACTATCAGCATCATTGAGCATATCAACAACAAAACCAACAGAAACCACATGATCATCTCAATAGATGCAGAAAAAGCTTTTGATAAAATACAACACCCATTCCTATTAAAAACACTAGAAAGCATAGGTATAAATGGAGTCTTCCTTAAAATAATAAATAGCATCTAAAACCTTCAGCAAGCATTATATGTAATGGGGACAGGCTAGAAGCATTTCCAATAAGATCGGGGTGAAACAAGGATGTCCATTATCACCACTGTTATTCAATATTGTACTGGAAACCTTAGCTTTAGCAATAAGAGAAGAAAAAGAAATTGAAGGCATTAGAATAGGCAAAGAAGAAACAAAGCTATCACTCTTTGCAGATGACATGATGATATACTTAGAGAATCCTAGAGAATCAAGTAAAAAACTACTTGAAATAATAAACAACTTTAGCAAAGTTGCAGGCTATAAAAAAACCCACATAAATCATCAGCATTTCTATATATACCACAAAGCCCAACAGCAAGAGATAGAAAGAGAAATCCCATTTAAACTTACTGTAGACATTATAAAATATTTAGTAGTCTACCTCCTGAAACAAACCCAGGAACTCTATGAACACAATTACAAAACACTTTTCACACAAATAAAATCAGATCTAAATAATTGGAAAAACATCAGTTGCTCATGGGTAGGCTGAGCTAATATAATAAAAATGACAATCCTACCTAAGCTAATTTACTTATTCAGTGCCATACCAATCAAACTACCAAAAAATTATTTTATAGAGTTAGAAAAATAATAACAAGATTCATTTGGAAAAACAAAAGGTCCAGAATATCAAAGGAACTAATGAAAAGAAATGCAGGGGAAGGTGGCCTAGCAATTCCAGATCTTAAATTGTATTATAAAGCAGCAATCATCAAAACTGCTTGGTACTGGCTAAGAAATAGAGGTGGATCAGTGGAATAGGTTAAATATGCAAGACACAGTAGTCAATGACTATAGTAATCTATTATTTGATAAACCCAAAGACCCCAGCTTCTGGGAAGAACCCACTCTTTGAAAAAATCTGCTGGGAAAACTGGAAAAGAGTATGGCAGAAACTAGGCATAGACCCAAATCTCACACCATATACCAAAATAAAGTCAAAATGGGTTCATGACTTAGATATAAAGGCTGATACCATAAGCAAACTGGGAGAACAAGGAATAGTTTACCTATCAGATCTATGGAGAACAGAAGAATTCATGACCAAACAGGAGATAGAGAACATTATGAAAAGCAAAATGGATAATTTTGATTACATTAAATTGAAAAGTTTTTGCACAAACAAAGCCAATGCAACTAAGATTAGAAGGAAGGTAGAAAATTGGGAAAGAATTTTTACAACCAGTCTGATAAGGGCCTTATTTCTAAAATATATAGAGAATTAAGACAATTTATAAGACACAAGCCATTCCCCAATTGATAAATGTCAAAGGATATGAACAGACAGTTCTCAGATGAAGAAATTAAAGCCATCTATAGTCATATGAAAAATGCTCTAAATCATTATTGATTAGAGAAATGCAAATCAAAACAACTCTGAGGTACCATATCACACCTATCAGATTGGCCAACATGACAAAACAGGAAAATGATAAATGTTGGAGAAGATGTGGGAAAATTGGAACACTAATGCATTGTTGGTGGAGTTGTGAAATGATCCAACCATTTTGGAGAACAATTTGGAACTATGCCCAAAGGGCTATAAAAATGTGCATACCCTTTGATCCAGCAATAGCACTTCTAGGGCTATATCCCAAAGAGATCATACAAATGGGAAAAGGACCCACATGTACAAAAATATTCATAGCAGCTCTTTTTGTGGTGGCAAAGAATTGGAAATTGAGAGGATGCCCATCAATTGGGGAATGGCTGAGCAAGTTGTGGTATATGAATGTAATGGAATACTATTGTGCTATAAGAAATGATGAACAGGCTGACTTCAGAAAAACCTGGAAAGACTTGTATGGTCTGATGCTGAGTGAAGTGAGCAGAACCAAGAGATCTTTATACACAATAACAGCCACATTGTACGATGACTAATACTGATAAACTTAACTCTACTCAGCAATACAAGGATATAAGACATCCCCAGAGGCCTCGTGATGGAATACACTATCCACATCCAAAGAAAGAACTATGGAAGTTGAATCGCTACCAATTTTTTTTTCTCTTCTGTTGAGTTTTGTTTCCTCTTTCTAATGGTTCCTCTTATTGGTTTTAATTTTTATTTACAACTTCACTAATGTGAAAATATGTTTAATAGGAATGTAAATGTAGAGCCTATATGAGATTGTGCGCTATCTTGGGGAGGGTGGTGGGAGGAAGAGGGAGAAAAATTTTAAACTCAAAAGCATATGGAAGTGATTGTTGATAAATCAAAATAAATTAATAATTTTTTTAAAAAATAAAGTCATTTGAAAAACTAAAAAAAAAAAAGAAAGACAAAGACTCAGGTTAAATGATTTGCTCAGGTCACAAGCTCATACATGTCTAAGACTAGATTTGGATTCAGTTCTTCCTGACTCCAGGCCCAGAACTCTAACCACTACATCACCCACTTACCTCCAAAAAGACACTGAAACTGGTGAAGCCCGAACACAGAATTAAGATGCTTTTTCTTTATTTTTCTTGGTTTTTTTTTCCATCTCTTTTCTTTTACAGCATGATTTACATAGAAATGTGTTTTGCATGATTACAACATGTGCAATCTATGTCAAATTGCTTGTCTTCTCAATGAGGAAGGGGAGAGGATGGAGAGAGAGGGTTTGGAAATCAACATTTGAAAAAAAGTGTTAAAATTGTTTTTACATGTAATTGTGAAAAATAAAATATTAAATTAAAAAAAAATAAAATAAAAAACAAGCCTGGCCAAAAAAAAAAAATGATGGAGATTTGAGTTAGGACAGAAATAGGAAGGGACTGAATCCCAGATTCATGATGGTTGTGTTCTTGAGGTATGGGAGGAGGAAACTGGTTCTTAGGACTGACCTTGTCTTTCAATGTCTCTCCATCCTGTGTCTAGAAGGCCATCAAGGAACTGGGGAAGGGTGTGATTGAGTAAGTTCTGTATTGTGATCCGGGTACCCTGGTCCTGGTTAAGAATGCTGGTGATAATCTGGGACATATTTTCAGCACCTGGAGCAGGCCTCCATAAATCTCCTTGGAAGCTCATGAAGTCTATTCCCTTAAATGCCACCTGGAAGAAGCTCACAGGAGATTTTGGGGAATGGCTTGCTCTCATCTGGATCACAAAGGGGTCTAAGGGTGAGAAGGTGAAGGAAGAGAAGAAAGAGGTAAAACATTTAGTTAAGGAGAGATGGAAGGGGTTAGATGTGGAGCAGGGAGCGGGAGGTGGTGATGAGTGTGGGAAATAATTATTTTTCCCATCTGTGCTCACAGGATTTTAATGGAGAAGAGACCCTAGAAATCATATTCAAGCCCCTCAAAGGAGGAAATGAAGGCCCAAAAAGGGTAAACTACTTGCTTAGTATAATAGGATCATTCATGAGATCACAGATCTAAAGTTAGAAAAAACCTCAGATACTAACTTGTACAACCCTCTCATTTTATAGATGAAGAAAATGAGGCCAGAGAGGTAAAATCATCTGCCCACAATCATACATGCAGTAACCACCTGAGGTAGGATTCCGCCCTAGTTTACAATTTCTTCATCATACCCTCCTTAAGAGGACCTACAGAAAGCCAGTCTGACTTGAGAGGTAGTGAAGTCCCCTTTCTGTTACCTTCTGCAAGTAAGACTGGAAATGAGGACAAAACAAGGTACCGAGAATGACAGCATCAGCCACAGGGAAAGTAAAGATCAGGTGAAAGAAGATTGTCTCGGCTTCCTCCAAGGTCAAGATCAAAATGAGCAATGGAGGAACCGAAGAGTTTTTAAGGGTCAAGGCAGAGAACCTGTGACCGTGGTTGGAGGGATGGGAATAAGGCTTCAGTGATGCAATAAAGATTATATTTGGAAGAGGAAAGGGACTCAGGGAACAAAGGGAGAATTCAATTAAGAAGAAGTTAGAGGCTTAAGGGGACGCAATGCCTATCTCAATCTCTTCCTCCTCCCTCCCCCCAACAAACTCCTGGGATGAAAATCCTGAGCTGTAAGCATCCCACATCCCCAAGACTCACAATTCTCCCCGTAGATCTTAACAAAGTCTTGCACATCCCGTGTAAAACTGATCAGGAAAATCTGTATGATTCTCTGCAGCCATTCCCAGCGCTCCGTATCGAAATGACCCCGGGCCCAGGGCCACAAGAAGCGAATGGTGCTAGTCTGCGGGTCCCACCTGTGGGTCTCCAGATCCCCGAGCCAGCCTGAGCCCAGGTTCTGAACCCAGCTGTGATTTTGAAAAGAAGAGATAAGATGGCATTGGAAGGGGACGAGCTCCTGGGAAGCTGTGGGAAAAGAGGGTGAGAGAAAGGTGGTAAGTGGAGGAGAAAAGGTAAAAGCCGAAAGAAATGGAAAAGAGGAAACAATCGCAGTGACTACTTGTCTCCCTCCCCGCTTCCTCTACAAAGGAGAAACTGAGTCTGGGAAAGAGTGGTCTGCCCTGAAGTTTCCCAGAGCTATGGAAAGGTCGGGGAAGGGCGGTCCCTGGGCAGGGGAAAGAATAGCCAATGTACCACACATCTCTTCCCCACTCTGCCCCGTCTCTAATCATCAGGTCCCCTCTCTGTCCTGCACATGCCTCTCATTGCCCACCCCCAACAGTTCTTTCTTACCAGTCCCTCCTTCCCACCCCTCAGAGAGCCCTGGGAGCAGCAGCAGAAAGGCTAGACACAGCGACAGCATTGAGGCCCGGCAGGCGATCCGCAGCTCTTCTCTGCTGGGACCTTCAATTCGCCACAAACCCTGCCCTACCCCTGGCCTGACTTCCTTCCCCTAACTCAACCTCCTATGAATAAATAGTTCAGCGGGTATGGTTTTTGGGTTTGTTTTTTGTCCTGGAGGAAGTTCAGTGGGGGGAGGGGGGTTAGAGAAGGGAGCAGAGAGAACAGAAGTAAGCTTCTTTTTGTTTTCTATAAATAATGAAATGTCAAGGGAAAAAAAAGACATCAATAAAACATATTTAAGAAAATAAAATAAAAACTAAGCCAGATGTCTCACTTCTAGCTACATGTCCCAAGTCTCTGGAATGGGAGATCCTCCTTGTCTCCAGGCTGTATTCTGTCCTCTATTTGCTTCCCTTCAAAGTCTGTCTCTCCCTCCTCCCCCCACCCTTCTTTCCCTGTCCTACCCACCCCACCCCCCTGTCATTTTGTGCCTCACCACTGGGATTGATTTCTCTTAGTAACTCACTTTAACAATCATTTATTAAGAACATGGTGATACCACATGACTAGTGTGGATATATGTTTACATGATTGCAAATGTATAACTTTTATCAGATTGCTCCCCGACTTGGGGGAAAGGGGCTGAGGGGGAGGGAGAAAAAATTTGAAACTCCAAATTTTATTAAAAAAACAAATGTTGTAAATACATGGAGTTGGGGAAAAATAAAAAACTATTTACAAAGAAAGAAAGAGAAAGAGAAAGAAAGAAAGAAAGAAAGAAAGAAAGAAAGAAAGAAAGAAAGAAAGAAAGAAAGAAAGAAAGAAAGAGAAAGAAAGAGAAGAAGAGAGAGAGAGAGAGAGAGAGAGAGAGAGAGAGAGAGAGAGAGAGAGAGAGAAAGAAAGAAAAAGAAAGATGGTGATGTAGTGAAAAGAGCCCCAGGTTTGTCTCGGGCAGACCTAGGTTCAAGTATTTTAACTTTGCTCTTTACTGTATGATTGTTGGGCAAGTCATTCAATGGCCCTGGAACTGTTTCCTTAGCTATAAAATGAATAGGCTAAACTAGTTGATTTCTTAGTTCCCTCCCTAAGAAGGACTTCTGAATTCACTAGCTATGGCACTGAAAATGACCTTTAGCTTTTCTGAGCCCAGTTTCTTCATCCCCTCTGCTCTGAATTATCCCTCTCATATATCTTCTAGCAAGCTGGGCCAAGGATTAAGGTCATCCTCCTGGAGGAGGTTATATTTTTCCAAAAAGCTCTGGAGTACTTCTATATGTGTGTGTTGGGGGAGGGAGGGAGAGAGAGAGAAAGACAGAGACAGAGACAGAGACAGAGATGGAGACAGAGGGGAGAGAAAGTTGTGGAAAGGGAGAAGAGACTGTGCCCTGCAAACCATTAACTCAAAAAAGTGGCCTTCAAATCTAGTGAAATTCTTGTTTTGAGATTCTAAGACTTGTGGAGATACAACACCTTGTATAGACATAAAACACTCCGTTAAAAAATTAAGAATAGCTTAAACAATTGTAGAGATATTCAGGTCTCATGCCTGGGCCATGCCAATATGATAAAAATGACTGTACTGATTAATTTAATTTACTTATTTAACATAATACCAATCAAACACATGAGAACATTGGAGTAGATTGACTCTAAGTCCCTCACAGCTCTAAAACTCTGTGAAGGTGAGTGTTAACAGGAATAATTTGATGGTATATTGGTACATATATGGGTTTTTTAAAATTTCACAAATTCAAGGGGGAGGTATGACAAGATAACTTGAGGAACTAAGTCAACCAAACCATGTTTTCCCTAGTACTCTAGGTTAGGAACAGCCTATGTGTGATGTGGAAACTGACTGGGACTGTAGGCATGTTACTGTTATTGCTTTTATAGATTCTATGTCAAGAGTAAGATACTGTATACAGTATCCAAGCATGCTTATCTGTTCCTTTAAGGAATCTACATTTTATCAAGGTCATATGACTAGGACTTAATGACACAGTAAATTCAGAGTAGAATCAGGGTTTTGCAAGGCTAGGTAGGTAGTATAGTCAATGAAGCACTGGATTTTAAGTCAGGAAGATTTGAGTTCAAATCATGCTTCAGATATTTACTAGCTGTGAGACCCTGGGAAAGCCACTTAACCTTTCTCCCCTGTTTCTCATCTGTGAAATGGGGATAATGATAGCATCTACCCCCCAGGGTTGTTATGAGGATCAAATAAGATAGTGTTTGCTATGGAAAGGGGCTTAGAGTTAACCCAATTGGGCAAATGTGCATGAGTCATATCTCTTAGGCTAAAATGAAAGGAATCTTGTGTCATAAACACAGGAATACAAGCAATCTGCAGGCCTGCCACATAGGCCTTCCACATTTTACTTCAACCCTGAATAATAATTTGAATCACATATATAAAATATATATATATATATATATATATATATATATATATATATATATATATATATATATATATATATATATATATATATATATATATATATATATATATATATATATATATATAAGCAGCAACTCACATTTCTGCAGCTTTGGAGTTTGCTTGCAAAGTACTTTACTTAAAAGTAAGTAGTACCCTAGTTATGTGACCCTAGGAAAGTCACTTAACCCCAATTGCCTAAAAAAAAAAAGTAGGTAGTACCAGTATTATTACCTTAATTTCACAAATGAGGAAATCAAGGTTCTGCAAGACTATGTCTTGCCCAAAATCAAAAGGGTCAAAAATGTCTGTGGCAAAATTTGAGTGTGAGTCTCTTGACCCTAGAATTCTAATTCTCTTTCCCCTATACCACACTGAAACTATTTGCATTAATTGGGCCTGAGGCAACAGTGAGACTGGCTTAGAATAGGAATGAGGCCTAAGTCAGAATGATGACCCACAAAAGCCACAGAAAGAAAAATATATATGTAATACCATATATGTAATACCACTAAAGCCTTGGGAGCCTCTCAAAATATAAGCCCTCAGAGATGAAGGTACCCTTTGTGTGGACAAGTCTTATCTTCCCATCCCATGCCAACGCCAAGAATAAGAAGATCATAGATTTAGAGCTGGAAGGGAACTCAGAGGCCATCTATTCCAATGCTCTTGTTTTATACTTGAGGAACTGAGATCCAGAGACATGAAAGAGACTGAAAAGCTAGGCTTCATCTGAGGGCAGGCCTATCTGTTTCTGCTCTCCACTCCAAAGATCATATAATAAATGTAGAAATCCTCATGGGACTCCCAATCTTGTGACAGCCTTTCTCCTTCTCCCTCCATTCCCTTCTTTCTTCCCTTCATATCTCTTCTCCAATTCTCACACACTTACTATTGGCCTAATTCTGGAAGATTGACAAGTCACTCGATCTCCCTTGACCTGTTTTATCATCTAAAAAAGGATTACCATATTCCCATCATTTACCTCACAAGGCTGTTGTGAGGTGTACTTAAAGAATATGGGGGTGGGGTTGAGGACAGAGGGAGGCTTCTGGTGTGAAACTGGTAGAGTTGTGTGGAAAAAGTGTAGGTTCTGAAATCTTTGACACTTTCACCAGCTCTTCCTCCATACTCTTCTCTTTATGTTTTTGAGATATTGCTCCCTCCTGGATCTCCTCCTATCTGTCTGACCACTCTTCAGTCTCCTTTGCTGGATCTTCAAACCAGGTCTCACCTGCTACCTGTGGGTGTTCCCCAAGGCTCTGTCCTGGGCCTCTTCTCTTCTCCCTCTCTATTCTATTTTGCTTGATGATCTCACCAGCTCCAGTGAATTCAATTATCTATGCAAATGATTCTCAGATCTATTTATCTAGATTCTAGCTCTAACCTTTGTTTGGGGGCAGCTAGATGGTGAAGTAGATAGAGTACTGGATCTGGAGTCAGGAAGACTCATCTTCCTGAATCCAATCTGGCCTCGGACATTTCCTAGCTGTTTGAGCCTGGGCACGTCACTTAACTCTGTTTGTTTTAGTTTCCTCATCCATAAAAGGAGCTGGAGAAGGAAATGGCCAACCACTCCAGTATCTTTGCCAAGAAAACCCTAGATGGGGTCCCAAAGAGTCAGACACAGATTGACAACAGACCTTTCTTTTGACTTCCAGTCTTGCATTTTCAATTACCTATTGGACACGGTAGACTGGATTCCCACAGATAGTTTAAACTCATCACATCCAAAACTGAACTCATTATTAAACCCTCACCTCTTCCTGTATTACTTATTACTCCTAAGGACACCACCATCCCTCCCAGCCACTCAGACTCCTAACCTGGGTAATATTCTCAACTTCCAATTCTCACTGCGTATCCAATCTGTTGCCAAATCCTATTGACTTCTGCTTTCACATACTCTTATGTGTCCCTTTCTCTCCTCTGACATTGCCACCACTCATCACTTCACTTCTAGACTATTGCAATAGTGTGCTGGTTGGTCTCCCAGTGTGAAGTCTCTGCTGATTCCAATCCATAATTAGCCGTGCAACTTACCTCACCATGACATCCTCCCATTCAATAAAGTTCAACGGCTCTCTGTTAGCTCCAAAATCAAATATACATTCCTTTTAGGGGCTCTTAAAGCGCTTCATCACTTGATTTCTTCCTTCCTTTGCAGTCCATGTACTCTACTATCCAATAACACTGGCTTCCTTGAAATTCCTTACATCTCCCTACTCTGTGTGTTTTCACTGGCTGACTCTCATGATTAAAATTCTCTCCTTCTCCATCTCTGCCTCCTCTCTTCCTTGGGTTCCTTTAAGTCCCAGCTAAATTCCCACCTTCTGAAAGAACCTTTTCCCGGTCCCCCTTAATACTAGTGCCTTCTTCTGAGATTACCTCTAAATTATAGAGCTTGTTTATACATGGTTGTTTACATGCTGTCTCCTCAATTAGATCATGTGCTCCTAGAAGGCAGAGCCTGTTTTTGTTTCTATTTTATCCCCAGGGCTTAGCACAATGCCTGGCATAAGCAGTAGGTGCTTAATAACAGCTTGTTACTTGATTCTACTTATCGACTTTACCCGGGGGCATCCAACTAATAAGGATCAAAAGAAGGTCTGAGGTCTATCTTATTCTGAGCTCAGTTCTCTTTCCACAATGGCAGGTGGCTTTTCACA